GCGTACTTCACGCCAATCACGCTGGAGAATTCCGAAATCTTTAACAAAGAACAGTTAAAATTAAAACAATGAACAATGGAAGTACGATTTCTAAACAACCAGCAAAGAAAGCAAAACGTGATCCGTGATTTTCGACTATAACACAATAATCCGACTTTTGGGCACAAGATGATTAACCACGACTTTTTGACGTTGTTTTTTACACATCAAGCGAATTCTCCCATAGTAAATAGGCTTCAGTGAAAAAAGTACCAATCAGTTAGCACTTAATAAGAATTCGCGAATTTCTAAAACAAGCCAAATCATAATTCTTTCAACAACATTTAGGAAAATACTGCATAATTGTAACGTGATTATTATACAAATGAATACTAACAACTAATCCAAGCAGTATGAAAGCATTTGTGGATATGAAAGCTGGGTGTCACCAAGACTGTCTTTTTTCTCCGTCCCCCGCCCCTCCCCTTTCCCTTCCGATACGCCTCCCCCATTTTACCCCGTCATTTCACTCGACTAACACTGTGGTACTTACGATTTTACTAAGATTTGCCCACACATCGAATGCGTCTATTATATAACTTCTTATTCTAAATCGCCTATCACTCAAGCATACAATCTTATCAGGAACGATAATTTTTGAATTTATCGATTCTCTGTTTACCGCACACTCATTTCTCGCAAACACCACAGGCTTTACTATACGCGTTCAAACTGAACAAGCAATAATTACTAACTGGAGGTATACAGCCCAAGATCTAATACCAGGTGTAAATGCCCCCGACATGTGGAAGTATTCCAGTAAAAACACTAACAAGGAAAACCCATAATAATTGTCCGGAAGATCTTGGTATTCTTGATAGATGTAAATGCATTTTCCTAATCACTACACATTTATGCAACATAGCAAAATGCATCGAAATACCGATATGCAGTGATCACAATCTAATATCACATTTTCTATGTACTTACAGGTATACAACAACAACATTTACTTTAGCTAATAAGTTAAACAAAGGCTATGTAGAGCTGAACAGAACCTAAAACTCCAGGAAAATCTAATACATTTGTAAATTTTTACCTAAGTTTTCATAATTTGTCAAGTAAAATCCACAGCACTTTTCCTTTGAAAATTCCATGGTACCAAAAACCTTTCCATCCCAAAATTTTTTGCATTTTCATGAATTTTTAAGAAAATTATGCAGATATGAAGTATCTATATCATCGTCATCACAGTCAAACAGTGAAAGCTCAGAACGAAATGGTGATGCCTAACATACATCAAGAAGGTTCATTGATAAGTGATTTTTGTCAAAACAGTAGCTGAACTTGTATGTTTCTTTTTCAGGACTGCCGGAAGGCTAACTAGCCGGGGATGTACTAAATGATCGGAGCTTTTATAGAAAAGTGTCAACTGCACAGACTAAGAACAACAATATAAATTAACGGAAATTCAAAGTATTTCAAGTACAAAAAAGTCGTGATATATCACCGATCGAAAAATTTCGACCCCGGCATTACGAAAGCTAGGAAGCTGAAATTTCGAGTACGCAAAGTCTCCGGCTGTTTATATGGCTATAAGCATGAAATCAACTGGCATTTCTTCATTCTGCATCCTGACATATGAGCTCGAAGTTCGAATTCAGTGATTTTTTTAAAGGATAACCTTAATACCTCTCTTTTCTATGTAAAATATAAAACATTTTGCACGTGTCGATGCTAACTTATCAGTAAAAACATAAAAGCAATGTGAACAGTAAGACATGCACCAAAATACAAAGACAATCAAACAGCAAGAAAGACAAATAAAAGAAGTAATATAATACATTTCACACATCCAGGATCGTTTCCATATTAAGCACCCTTGTTACATAATACGGCATATGATCGCTGATAACAGCGCTGCACAGTTTTATTTCATTCAGTGAGCTGGAACGTACAAAAAATGATAAGAAATGTAACGGTTTTCGAAGAAAAAAAAAGATAACGAAACTGTCAAAGTCTAACAATTACAGCTAAACTTTGCAATGAAACGAAATTTTTAGAAAATCAGTTCTTTGCAGTCTAGGAAAAGTTTACTATAACATCGAAATGACTATACTGTATTAACTGTATTATATTAAGTTACAAGTATTTTGGGCACAAGATAGTACGCCTAGGATACCAACATCATCTCATGTCGCGAGTGGATTTTTTTCCCCAAAAACTGTTCTAGATCGGGAGGGAATTAAACCAATCCTCTTCACATCCGGACGCAATGTGTTACCACTACACCACCGTTCCTGTGTTCCTGGTATAGCCTGGCAACACATCTACTGTTTATCTGCCTTTCAAGGCAACATGTCCCTTTCTTTTCTTTTTCTTTGTGGCGGCTCCTTGGCCGATTTTTCGCGGTATTCTGCGACATCCGGCATCGGTGTTAATATCCCATTTGGTAACGTTACAAAATGCTTCCAGACGCCGCCTGTAGCTATATGCTAGGGCCTTCGATTCTGAGCTGCACACCACCATTTAGACGCCACCCATTCAAAGGCCGCTCCAGTAACAGTTTACTTTGTCATAGGTACCACTCACTAATACGCGAGGTCTACCAATTATCGGTGAACACGCTCTGCCCATCGAATTTTACTTTCATCCTGCACGCCGCTCATCTGATGAAAAGTTTGCGAGTTTATTTGGCTAGCTTCCAAATACCTTGCACCTGGTGGTTGTTAAAACCAAAACTACACAGACGCCTAGAAAGACAGGCTCCTGATAATCTTAGCACCCGTCTTCTTTTTTCTCCTGACCATCTTTGGATCGGATATATTCGTTGCCATACCAGGAAGCCATTGTGTGGCTCTTCACAAGTCGCAGTGAAAAATACCTGTACACTGAAGAAAACAACTAAATGTACCTGTGATGTATCCAACTTTTGGAGATCAATTTCTTCTTTTTATCTGTCACCCAAACATGCAGTAGACGTCCAGGAGGAAGAAGCTGAAAATA